TCTTAAATGTGTGTATATATATATAGTATTTATAGAGTTTTAGCTTTTAGTTTTAATGACTTTTTCTTATTTGTAAGTCGCTTTGGATAAAAGCGTCTGCTAAATGACTAAAAGTAAAGTAAAAGTAATATTATAAAATGTTCATATTATAAAGCCACTCTGAGGCTATTCTGTAATGTGAAGGTGCTTTATAAATAACTGAATTAAATGAAATAAGTTGAAGTTGAAGAACTAAAATGACTAAAAATGAAATAAAAATAAAGCTAAATAGAAATATATATTTTTTTAAATGATAAAACCACATAACAAAATTACTAGAACCTAAACTTAAAATGAAAACTGTAAATATACAAATAAAAGCTAATTCAAAATACTAATCAATTCTATAACAGTACACAAAAAAATTAAAACAATGCTTGGCCAAAAAGCGCTCAAGTAAAAGTTGAGAAATAGCCTAGTTTTTTGGGTTAACTATTCCTTTACATGTTTCCGAGTTATCCCACAACACATTTCAGCATCCAACTAATTACTTTGACACACAACTCTTGTAGAATCTGAAAAACACTTTTATCCACTCCTTAACAAAACATAAATATGCCAATAAAGTGAAAGCAGCGAGCAAGTAATGACTAAGTTTGAGTCAATAATGGCCGTCCTAATGAAAAGTATTGGCTGGGGAAGAGAAAGGAAAAGTCATTAGTGTTTTTCACAAGTAAGAATGGAGGGAGGGCCTGACATTTGACAGTCTCCTCTCTGTCTTACACTCTCCCTCTGTCCTGTTGTGTCCTGATGGCAGATGGATACTGCATGACAACAAGGTTATGAGGTCACAACCACACAGGGGGGCATGTGTGTGCGCGTGCACGTGTGTGTGTGTTCCCTGCCAGTCCAGTACATGGATGAATGTGAGCATTACATGTGTCAGCAGACGGGTGACAGCACGGCATTCATTAATAAAAACAAAAAGAGTTTAGCTCCAGTAGTGCAGAAGAGGGGCTCGAAAAGGGGTGCAGGGAAAAATGGGAGGGATATGTTTCACAGACAGGCCTGAGTGTTCAATACTGACACGGTTGTGAGCTTTCTCTATCACACTCTCTCTCTCTCTCTCTCTCTCTCTCCTTTTCTTGCTCCCTGACAGAGCCAACAAAGAGCTCACACTCCAGTCTATGCTGAGGTAAGCCAGATCATAATGAAGCTGAGGTCTCAAAGGGGATTCCCTTGTGTGGCGGCAAAACTCAGTGTGTGAGTGTGTGTATAGCTACACACTATGAAAGTATGTACCCCTGAATATTATGTCTCCAGAAGTGCATTCAAACATCTTGGAGTGTTTAGTAGCAATCCTCTCCCTCCGTCTCCCATCTGTCTGTTCACTGCTGAAATGACCAAGTTTTCCTATCAGACTGCTTAACTTACAAATCTACCTAGTTCAATGAGCTTCTTTCAAGGCTATACTAGCCCACCAGCTAGATCAGCACTAAAACAAGAATGAAAATTCATTAAAGTGATAGGTCACCCAAAAAAGAACATTTTGTCATCGTTTATTTACTCTTCTGTTTTTGTCTATATAATGAAAGCCAATGGCTGCACAATTACAATTACGCAATGTATACAATTTACATAAATATATGCATTGCATGTTTTATATTGTGATGCGCAGCACTGTGCTTTTACACGTGGTAACCTTCAAAACTGTAATGAAAAAATGCTTATAAACAGTTTGTTGTCCAAAAAAAGGTTGAAAGTTTAATGTTATAGCTACATGAGATGGAGACAGAGAGACACATTATACTGTTCAGGGACCCGCCTGCACAGCCCCAGACTCTCGCAGACTGAAATCCTGAAAAAGAACAAATTCCACCTCTGAGCAGCATTAAACTGTCTGTGCCACCTTTGCATTTGGCAATAAGGCCTTAGGTATGGGCTCTGTTGACCAGAAAGGAATTACCTCTAGAAGTGCCCTAACAACCACACATCAATGTACTGGCAACCACCCAGAGCCAACCAGTGATTGGTTGCATAAACTTGCTTAAACTACACGCCGCATGTATCTGACCAAAAATACAGTAACGTATATCAAAATATTATTTCAGATTTCATAACATTTTAAAATGTAATTTATTCCTGTGATGGCAGAGCTGAATTTTCAGCAGTCATTACTCCAGAATCCAGTCTTCAGTGTCACATGATCCTTCGGAAATTATTCTAAAATGTTGATTTTGTGCTCAAGAATAATTTCTTATTATTATCAATGTTGAAAAGAGTTGTGCAGCTTAATACTTTTGTGCAAACTCTGATACATTATTTTTCATGATTCTTTGATGAAGTAAAAAAAAAAAAAAACATTTATTTGAAATAGAATCTTTTGTAAAATTATCACCTTTTTACAGTAACTTTTGATCAAATGTAATTGTAATGGACTGTATACATTCATTTTATATATGCACTATATTCTGCAGGATACTGGGACAGTCTTACTGTATATTTAGATTATTGACAGAGGCCTACCACACACCTTGGGTTTGCCGGAGCGGTTGGTGATGAGCCGGATGGCTTTCACTGTGCCGTGCTGTTTACAGAGATCCTCCAGTGTCTCTTTAGTGCAGGAGTACGGCAGGCCCGAGATAAAGATCTTGTGCTTCTCCACTGCTGTTTTGTACTTAAAAACCTAAGACACATTATACAAATGATTCACATTTTAAAAATAATAACCAATAAGAAATGTACTACAAATTGTTCACTTGAACATCAAGAAACACTATATCACAAATTGAGTACTATACATTTCTAGATACCTTGAAGTCAGGATTCTTATTCTTGTCCACACAAGGAGACACATATATGGGCCGCCCATCCACCTCCTGCCTGTCCAGTTTCAGTGCCTCGGATACAGCCAGTCTGTCCTCAAACTGCACATAGCAATAGCCTCTAAACGCACCTTTCACTGTAAACACGGGCCGCACCTGCTGTACAGTCCCACAACCCTGAAAAAATGTTCGCAGCTTGTTCTCTGGGTCCTCCAGATTAAAAGCCAAGTTACTGACAAATACACTATCTTCATCTTTGCGCTGCTCCTTTGACGTGTCCAGGGGTTGTCGCGGGGCTTCAGACAGTCCCTGTTGGTTCTTACGGAAACCGGGTGGCTCAGATTTACGTGATGGTGGAGCTCGGCGGCCGAAAAGACCACTTTCTGTCTCCATGAGCTCCTCTGTGGCTGTGCTACCAAAGCCTTCCTCCCCTCGGAGCCTCTTGGACGGCAGCTCTGCACACATTTGATATGTCAGTACAGCTGAAGTCTAAACCACACTTGTTTGGAAATTACTTCCAATTTCTCTAAAAACAGATTTTTTTTTTTAAACAACTAACAGAATTATGCAACTTCATCCATACCTGCATCCTCTCCCCATTCCTCCTCGTACTCATCTTCAGCTTTCCGTTTATCCCCCGTTCTGTTTGCTTTCTGGCTCTTTTTTTGGCCTTTTTTATCTGCCTTGGCTTTCCTCCGATGCTCGGCTTTCTCCTCCTCTTGTCTGGCTTGGAGAGCCTCTTTTTCAGCCACCTGCAGAAACAGCATTTAAACGGCTCAAAAACCGCATCAAAAGGACATTTCCACATGGCAAGCTTCAAGACAAGCATGATAGATACAGTGCACAGCATAAAGGACTACACCCCCTCTGAAACTTAAATTCAGCAATTACTCTTTGCTTAGAAGACATGTTATGGTTTTTTAGAGATATAATATTCCAGCAAGTCTGCTTGATCAGTTACCAAAGAAGAATGTTAAAATTATTCAAGAAAATACCATTTTCTTATTAAAGTGATAAAATGTTGTGTTGCAAAAATGAGTACACCCTCCTGAAAGTTACTAAATAAAA